AGTGCTTGGACCTATTTGATTTAAACCAATCAGAGACAAGTTTGGACGAGTAGGGCCCTCAGCGACATGGAGGCATTCACAGCCATTGTACAGTCTCTGCCTATGCCTTAAATAAAAACATCCATTGATTCATTTCCACAGCCAGCACTTTTATTATTTATTATTGTGCTCATTAATAAACCCAAAGTGCCCAACTAATAATATACAAGTAACATTTAATGAAGAACTGGTGAGTTTTTTTTTCCTTGTAGTAAAACAAAAACACTTACTGGAATCATGAACCACACTGCATTAAAAAATACATCAGTAGATAATGTGATGTACATCACTTGTTCCTCTATCATTTTCTAGAAAAGCAAAATGGGTGGAGGGAAATGGGGAAGCCACAGCTCTATGTTAGAAGGGAAAGAGTAGGAAACCATAGGAAAGCAACTGCAGAGATGGCTCAGCAAGCATGGGGACCTGAGTTTGAAATCCAGCACTCACATAAAAGCTAGGAGCAGCAGAGCACTAATGACTTCAACACTATGGATGAGCGACAGTCAGATCCTTGGAACTGGCTGGCTAGCCAGCTGAGCCAGATGGGTGAAGAGACCCTGTCTCTTAGAATGAGGTAGGGGAAAGTGAGATGACTCAGCAGGTAAAGGTACAACTTGCCATCAACCCCGATGACCTGAGTTCAAATCCCAAAAGTTTTTCTCTGACCCCCGCCCCCAACACACACACACACACACACACACACACTGTCTCTCTCACACACACAGAGTCTCACTGTCACATGCACGCACATGCACAATGTCACACCCACACCCTGCCTCACACACACAGACACTGTCTCACACACACACACACACACACACACACACACACACACACACACACACACACAAATAAGAGGAAGTGGCAGCAGCCGAGGAGGAAGAGTCCCAGTGGCTCTGACTCAGTTCTGGAAGGCTTTAGAAATTCACCACAAACTTCTAACATCTCTCAACTTGCCAAGCTCTCTTGAAGATGGTGGCTCTTCACCAAAGCAGCCAGCCATTGTCACTGTGGCCATGCATGTCGGACAAGAGTGAATGGACATGATCGGATGGCTTTAGCAAGAGGTCAGCTTCCTCTTTAGTCCAAGCCCCTGAACTGACTTGAGTGTCCCCGTCCTTCTCTCAGGAACCAGTTAAAGAGCAGACATTCAGGGCAGTATGTCCCAGCCTCTTGCCCATAGTATGGCCCTTGGGATTATTGATGATTCCTTAAAGGACACTGCCCTGGTTTCCGTTCCATTGCTGTGATAAAACCATGACCAAAACCAAATTGGGGAGGAAAGGATTTATTTGCCTTGCACATTCAGATCACAGTTCATCACTGAGGGAAGCTGAGGCAGGAACTCAAGGAAGTCAGAAACAGGAACTGCACAGATAGTGGAGGAGTACTGATTACTGGCTTGCTCTGTGTAGCTTACTCATTTACCTTTCTTATACAGGAACTCCCACCCAGGGGTGGGTACCCCTGTGGCCTCAGCCTCCACATCAGTCAATCATTTATAAGGAAAATGCTCCACAGACCTGCCCACAGACAATCTAATGAAGGCAGTTCCTCAAAAGAGACCCCTTCCTCCCAAAAAACTGGCTGTGTCAGGTTACCCAAAAAACAACCAGCGTAATCATGATTGGCTTAAAAGAGAGTGGTATTGATGTAGACATAATCTGCATTAAAAGCAAGATCTTCAAGTATTATTAATTACCAATTGTCCATGACATTTTTATGACTATTTTTTTAAAGTGATCACAAGTCCACACAGTCTAGATAGCAAAAACCTACTACTGAAGAAAGGCCTAGGGCTTGCAATCAGTGCAGACCAGAAGCAGGAGCTACCCTGGGCTGCAGCTCTGAGCATTCCTGCTGGTGTGGCCAGGCACAGGTCAGAACTTCCTGTGTCATTGGACTATTGACTTTCAACTCCAATTCTCCCCTTCGGTGCTATGCTGGCTGGTGCTTTAACATGGGAGGGAGCTCAAATGTTATGTCCCTTTTGTTAGCTGTCTTCCATATGGGGTCCTGGAAGGGAAGCTAGGGTAAGGCAGAAAGGACCTCTTTTTGTTTTTCTAGGCATTGTTGTCACCGAGACAACAACACCATAATCATTCATTCCGGACTCTTCTTTCTTTTAACAGTCCCAGAAGCCCTTCAACAAGGGCAGTCTTGAGGGCCCCAGAGCTCCTCCCTGAGGTCAAAGAGTAACAGTGCTGTTGGGTGGTCCCTTTAATCCCAACTCTTAAAGGCACACTCCTGAAACCTCTCTTTAGTCCCATCCCAGGAACCTGTAGAGCTTCCTCAATGATCCATACCAGCACTTGATGCCACCCCCTACTGATGAAGCCATCCCCTACAATGAGTTAATTCTTTGTGCTTAATGTGGCTTTCAGTCTACTCACAGTCCCCTAACTCAAACACTGACCAAGGATGGTCTAGAATTGGATGGATATGTTATGCCTCTTGAAAAAGGCAATCCAATGGGAGATCAAATCTTTACAGAATGTCTAGGCTGATCCTTAGAATTCAGAATGAAAAGAAATTGAAAACACCTTTCATAATGGGTTGTAGTTGCTGAGGCTTTCCAAATTGACAGTTTACATCATTTGGGAATCTTCTACTCTTAGAAATGGTGAATTAAAAGCAGTATATTGCCTTCAGAATTACATTCACCTCTGTGGCTACTCTTACTGACAAAACCTCTTCACACACACACACACACACACACACACACACATACACACACTTCAACCATTCTCTCCCAATTCTTTATCTTATCTGCTTTTGACCATGTGATGCCTTGTAAAATTCACTTAATTATGACATTCATTTTTTCAAGAAGGCAAGCTAGCTACAGCTATGTGACTCCTTTTAAGATGAATGGTTCAGGCCCTGGGAACTTTTGAAGCAGAGAAAAGTGTATTTTTATGTTTTTAATGCCATGATTTGATTAGAGGCTCCTAAACCAAAGATAAGTGGGTTATGGTAGCCTGTGGCACTGTGGGCAAAGCCCTTGCCTGGGGAGGCTTTGTGCTGGGGATCAGCTGCCCAGTACAGTGGGTAACAAGAATGTGTGGGCTTTGGTGTTAAATACTGAGTGAAATCATAGTCACATTTATATAAAAAACAGTACTACCAAGAGCAGTAATTTGAACATCTATTACTGATATTTAAGAATCCTTCTGGATTACAACAGGGCCAAGGCAATCTCTTGGGAATACTCTGGGGGAAATTTTCATGAGGTACTAAACCCAACTCAATTTACTCCTATTATTCTAAAACAAGCATTCTAACTTTTGTTAACTGGCCACTTGGTACATTGAGATACAGATAAACATAGCCTTGAACTTCAAGGAAACATGATGAACACCTACTGTGTGAGGGGAGTTTATGAAGGATGCTGTTTATGACCCAAAAGTGTGTATCATGGATGTACAGTCAAGATGGCTTGGTAATGGACTATGAGAAAAATAATCAGCAAATTAAATATTAGCACTTAACTTTTTACCAGCATATTAACTGCCTTGTTCAGCTAACTTAGTGTATCTTGACTTCAGTATATGCAATAGACATGATTAAAACACATGCAAAATCTCCATCTGGCCTCTACATATTCATGTGTGGATGTATACACAAACATAAATACACACAACAACACACCCACACACCACACCATATACACACATACAGCACACATACACAACACACACACACCACAGACCACACAAGCACCACACCATACCCACACCCCAGCTACACACCACACCATACACACACACCACATCCACACACCACACCATATACACACATACCACACCCACACCACTCTACACCACACCACACCCATATCCACACACACATCCCCCTACACACACACACACCACACACACACACCACACACAAACACCACACACACACACACACACACACACACACACACACATACACACAACCTCTAGTTGAACTCTCCAGCTCTGGATTTGAAGCCAGGGTGCTTCATTAGGCAGAAACGTTTCTTCTCACTTATGTCCTCACATCAGGGCATTTTTGTCACAATCCTAGGAAAGGAAACTAAGACGGTGCAATAGAGGAAGAAGTCTGAGTTGACCTCTGGCTTTCACACCAACTATATACATGTGTGTACATTTCTTCACACACACAGGGAAGTATACACACATTGGCTACCTGCTTCCCACTTCTATGGGCAGGACCTCAGGAAGCTGGTACAACCTAAACATTAAGTGTGGGCTTGAAGGATGAAGTAAACATCATTCATAAATTTTGCTGCCATTTCTCAGCAGTGTAGGCACACTGTCCTTATTGCAAAGTATGTGCAAGGGGACGGGGATGGACAAGACAAGATGGGACAGATGGGACCTGACCCCACAGAGCCTTCCCCGCAGGCTCTGCTGTCTTCCTTCTTGGTTATATCATCAGTACTTTTCTGAAATAGCGATTATTAGAAAACCAAGCCATGCAGAATTCAGCTCAAAATTTCCTTGATTGAAAGAAAGCACATCTATAAGTAAGAGAAAATTATAAGATAATGGAGAAGAAAGGCACACAGACGTCTGAGACAGTGCCAGGAGTGCCTACTTCCCAGACAGAGCTCGCTCGCTCTCACATTAATCTCGTGATAACATTTCCCATCTTTGTTTTTCAGAAGCCCAAAGATCTCATGGTAAGTGAGATTCCTGAGAACATCCCTAGCAATCCACACTTGCTGGGGGAAGGGCATCGCCAGACAGGTGGCCGCAAGACAAAACCTAAGTAAAGGCACAGCTAATTTTAGTCTGGGTAACCAGAGAACAAGCTATGTAAAGGAGAATGCCAGGGTGGAGGTAGGGGGAGGTATTCTCTGTCTCCCCAAGGGTTCTTTAGATTTCCTCTATCTTGTCTTTGTCCAGAGTCGTCTTCTAATTAATGCAGTTTTAATTACGCGAGGGTTTTTGTAGGAGATGGCCTCTTACCTTTCGTAGTGTCTGCGAGTACAGGTGGCCGCACTGGTACTCCCCGGGTTACCACCTAACTCGTCATAAATATGTTTCCATTGACGGCGGGCTGTTATCTGAAAAGATGGCAATGAGAGATTCAATCTAGCATCGTGGGAGCTGCAGGCAGCACCAGCCTCATATATATGCAACATTCAGGAGAGAACAGACTGCTCCAGACAACCAGAAACAGGGGCCCCAGTGAGACAGTTGCTTTCAAACAAGAGCTCTCACATAACAAAAAAAAAAAATGGCATCCAACTTTTGGTGCTGTTTGCTTTGCTAACTTCATCTAAGACAACCCCTGCCCCCTGCAGCTACTCATATAGCTGTTTGCCCCCAAGATCCCAAACACGCCCTGTTCCTTTATGCTATGTGATACAATATAAAATAAAGTTACAGTTCGGTATGCTCATTCACCAGCTTAACCAAATCAGGGATGACTGCCTGAAGCTGATGGAGGAGGGTGGCCAGCCACACTACTTAAAGATAATATTTTTTTCACCAAACATGTTTATGCGCATATCCTCTGATTCTTTGAACCATACAATGTGCTTCCTGCTATTAAAAGCACACACACACCAATAAAATGATTCTATAGATTAATGAAAATGATCAAATTGGTAGAAGGATTTACAGTCATCTCTGCTTCCTCCCATTAGTAAAACAAAGCCTGAATCTGGAGATGCATCTATCAAGTCTGTTTTTATTTAGATAGAGCAGGAAAAAGACATATTAACGGAATCCCATGAAAATGAACATATTCCAAAGTTGGGTGAATAAAAACAACATGGCAAGCCATATCCTGCCCTATACAGCATGGTCTTTTATTTTTATTAAGGACATGCTTAGGTATGGTAGATAAGCTGTGACCTGCCTCCGCCCCCATAACCAATGCCCAGATCTTGCATCTGTTATTTTGCAATACCTTAATCTATGTACAAAAGTAAAACAGCATTTAGGAAAGACGCTGATACTGGATATGTGGAAGACAGGGTATTGGGAAGGTGCCAGTGGTGTTTAATACAAACAGGATAGGAGGGTTCCTTTTAAAAACACCACTGTTGGTGGAGTTCACAGGGGAAACAGGAACCAGGGAAAGAAATCTTCAGTCTACAGTGTATGCTGTGCTATCAGTTTGAATCTAAGGAAGAGAGGACGATAGCAAAATGGCACCTTAGTCATTTTTAATAGAGGAAGTCCTCTTTTTCCTTATACCACACTATAGGCCCAAGTAAGGCCTCCAGACACTGTTCAGTTTCTCATGAAGTCAACTTAGTCACTTGATTTCAATATACAAGGCTACCTATCACACACATACCAGCAGGGACAATGATGGAAAATCCTTATGTGTGTAGCTTGGTTTAGAGTCAAACTACTCCCACGATACTCCCAACACAGTAATTGTTTATTAATAACTGCAATCTCCATCAAGTTTGTAAATGATACAATCTTTGGCTGATCTAGCCTTAGGCTGCCAATCCCCCTCCCCTAAAAGGCATAATACCTTTCCTCAAAAGTGCTTAGTACCAAGGCCCTCATTTAGATGAGGGGAGCGCACAGGGTGCACATGGGACCAGAGTAACAGCCTATGTGTGTCCCTGTCATCCCATCAGCAGCAGTTCCCATTCTGGTCATCTGTACAAACTGCATTCCATATTTTATAAGAAACAGTTTGTGTTTCTATTGAACTTTCCCCTGATCTTAGGAGACAGGTGTTGGGATCTCAATCACAGGTAAAGGCACCGAGATTTAGGAAGGGTGCACCACCTGTCTAACAACACACAGCACAGTAGTAGTAAATCCAGACCCACACAGTCATCTTCTTGTACCAAGAGCCAATGTCTTTGTACCATTATCAAAGCGGCCTCACATCAGAATAATCTGAGTAATGTCCATGCTGAGGATGAAGGGGAATTGGGCCAGCAAGAATCTAAGGGTAAAGTGCCTTCTGATTTTTTTACTCTCTCACATTCTGAAGTTAAATGCCCTATCTGTGTTGACCCTTTGTCTCCCTAGGTAGAATAGAGGGACTAGCCTCTTCTCACTACTGAGTCATTTCTCTTGGGCTATATTTCCCTGTCACTCCAAGGAACTCATTTAAGACACTGGGAATTCGGGACATGGCCATCTACCTACACTGTATCCCATTTTAGGACAGCACTGGGTATAGAGAGTGATGGAGGTGGAAAGGGGGAGGAAGGCAGAGGGTAGAGGGCAGATGAGATCATGGTCAGATAAGACTTTCAAGTTTCCTAACTGAATGGGCAGCATGAGTCCAGACAAGCACAAAGGTTAGTCAACTGAGCCTCAGTGCAGTAAGCAATCTGGATACGTGTACAATCTCACTCTGAAAACAGCTGAGAATCACTTCTTTCTTAGTGTAGGTACAACTGAAGGGTCACTGAAAAGGACACTACCACACCCATTCCATTCAACAGATGTTCATGGCTTTAAGTGTGGGTTTCCAAAATAACCTTTAGAACTCAGGTACCATTTTAGAAGTGTACCAAAATGAGTTCTCTGTGTGGCCATTCATCTAAGAAAACTTGGCTAATGAGCGGAAAAGAACCTATCCCTTACTCAGTTGTATTGATGAAACCATCCTGCTGTTTCAACAATATTTGGGAAGGGAGTACAGAGACAGCTCAGACAGTCCAATACTTGCTCATAACAATGAGGACCCAGGTTCCTTCTCTAGAACTTCCATGGACAAAACCACGCTTGTGATTCCAGCACTGGGGAGGTAGAGATGGGTGGATCTGGCTCACTGGCCAGCCAGTTTTTACCTACTTGGTAATACCAAGGCCACCAAGAGACAATGTCTCAAAAACAAAACAATAACAAGACTCCACCCCCACACACACACACAAAATTAATTAATTAATTAAAAAAAAAAAAAAGACAGTGACAAATAGCCTGCCATCTGGACATGATATGGCCATTGCATTCACTCAGGAGCTCACAGCATTTCTGATTCCTGAACAAGACCTACATAGGATGAAGCCAACAAAGGCTCTTCTGGGACTCACCAAGTTACAAAACAAAATCCACCACCAACACAAACAGAAAACAAAACAAAAAGAAACAAAATAAAACACACAAGAGGTAAAATGGGGAGACATGATCCCATGATCCAGGGTGCCTGCAGGAAGAGGAAGTGAGGAGCTGGGGTGGGTACATCAGGTATATTGTTTACATGCTTTAGACTGTGAAAGAGTAAATCTAAGATATTCTCACTGAAAAAAAAAGTGGGAGGGCACCTGAAGAGTGACCCTTAAAAGTGTTTTACACACACATACACACACACACATGGGGAGTGGGTATTCACACAATTACACACACAACCATGCACACACACTTTTAGGGTAGCCATTTTTTAAAGCACAAATCCTTGGATCCTTCCACCCTTTCATTTCTCTGCCTTTGAAGTCACAAGGATGAAAGGCTGCTGGCACCTGGGGCTCTAGTAAAGAAGACAGAATCAGAAGCTATTTTAGACTTGAGTGGCTTAAGCATGGGAAGGCAATACAAAGTCAAGGGATGCTTGTGCTAGCACCTAGCCTTGCTCAGGCTTCCCCAGAAGCAGAGATTTGTCTGGACACCTTTAGGGCGGGCTGAACTCAAGGAGGATGACTTTTTTATTCCTGGTAGTACTCCAGGAACTGAAGCCATTCAAAACGACATGACATCATCGTTGGCCTGGACAACTCTGAAATAAAGCCGAAGGCTTTGTATGTCCAGAATACTGGGCTTCGAGTCAGGGGATGGCTTCAAATTGATGTCAGAGCCAGAATCTGATGTCAAAGCATAATCCGGCAGGAAGACAAGTGACTTCTCCTGGATGAAAAAGTCACCATGTTGCCTTATTGGTAGGAAGAGATGGGGCTAGGGAGCACTACTCTGCTGGTACCACCTTCTCTTCGGGGATAACATTCCCTCAACACGCATTGTGTTAATACTACTGTCTCTGCAAATACTGCTCTGGGCTTTCTGTCAGGTAAAATCATCTTAACAAACTATAGTTGATATGCTGCTTTACATTTCAAATATTTATCTGTTTCCCCAGACACACAGAAAGGATCCTAACTCAGGCACAAAGCTATATCCTTTTCTGCCTCTTATGGGGAGATCTATGGTCTAATATATCTGGAAGAGAACGGTGTGTAGAAGTCTGTGAAGAGCGAGCAATTGCTAGCAACCAATCAAAGCACTCTGGATGCAGTGTTTTAGAGAATCAGATCTGATAGATACATTTATGATCTCTGAACCTAAACATAGAAAGACACGATATATCTCCAGGAAAGGCAGAAGAGGCAGATATAAAATGAAACTCCTGCTATACTGTAAAAGAAAATTCAATTGGAGGATTGTGAAGAACCAAAATGAAATAATCCATAATCCAAAATTCAAACCAGAAGCTTTGGAATAGTTTGTAGCCACAAACGAAAACAAGCCAATTAAGATGGTCTTGTTCACAACCAGTGAGATCCAGAGAGCTGGCTGTAGTCAGGCACACAGTAACACATCTACAGACTTCACACTTGAGGCGTCCTGGTCCTGAGCATTTACATTATCTAGACTTTTTGTAACCTTTTTCCTGAATTCTTACATTTTTCTCCCTCAAGAACCAGACATAACCTCAGGTTGTGACTGGTTTGTTACTAGGAAACATTAGTATTTGGATATGTATAGTAGTAACTTGACAGGGCTAGGGATGTAGCTTAGTGATACAATAATTGCCTATAACCATGAGCCATGACTTTACACAGACAAACAAACAAAAAACAAACAAACAAACAAACAAACAAAAAACTAGCCTGAAGACCAATTTCTAAACTTTGATATTTGAGTTTGATAAAGGACAGAGTTGAAGCAAAATGCCATTGGGCATGGTGCTATACCTGTCATGGGCTAAAAGATGATTTCAACAAAAGCAAGATCATGAGATGGATTCTTTTCACCGCAAATAACTCACAATGTGAAGAAAATATTCTAGATATCTGAGAAACTGCCAGGATTGGAAGGCACAAAAGACAGAAATTTATAAATCTCTTTACTCCAACCTCTACTACTAGAGAAGAAGAGCTATCTGACCTGGGGGGTTGCCAGCCAGCCAGAATCTGAAGAATACAATGATGGGGATTACCAGCCAGGTAGACTCAAGACCACCATGATTGCCTTACAGGACTCCTTTTACCTCCCTGTGCCTTAGTTACCTTGTTTGTGTAACAGAGGACATAAATGGGAACAGAGCAAGGAAGGATCCTTTTTTATGCAAAGGTCAAGTCAGGAAAAAAAATTAATCTGTCAAGGTGCTACGATTTCCTTCACTCAAATGGAAACGGTCCTAAGCTGCATTCAGACTTACAGAAACTTCCTCAGAATGAAGGTAACATATTTATCAGAAAGGCTGTGCTGTTCTTGAGTAGAGGGGAGGCTAACATTCTAGAATGTTCTAGACTGCAAAACTAAATCCTCCCTGAACATCTAAGTTTCATCAGTCAAAATACTCCAAGGGTGGGGGCGGGGATGGGGTGGGATATATCATGTATCTAGGAATGGCAAAAAGCTTAGATGTAGGATGGTAGAAACAAAGTTTGGTGCCAACAGGGCCATAGGAAACTGGAAGCAGGGAGCTAAGAAGAGAGAGGGGGAAGAAGGAGGGAGGGAGGTTTAAAAAAAAAAATCTGTTCATAAGTAGCTGGAGGGAAGATACCAATTAAGTCCTCCATATTTCCTCCAGAATATGCACCTCCCGAACATGCTACTTGGACTTAAGGATTTGAGCTGAAGGCAACTGAGAACAAATGGAAGAAAGAGTCCACACTCCTTATCCACTTGTCACTGGTACAGATTTCCCATGGAGAAGGTACTCTTTCTTCACAGTACCAGAGAGAAAAGAGTAACTCATCCCCACTAAACAATCCCAGACTCAGATCCAAGATCCTTTCTCTCTTGGCCTCCTTTTCTTTTCTCTACCTATCAAGAATCCTCTTCACAGCCTGGTAGTGGTGGCAAAGGCCTTTAATCCCAGCACTTGGGGGACAAAGGCAGGCAGATTTCCAATGGTTCAAGGCCAGCCTGGTCTACAGAGTGAGTGTCAGGAGAGGCTCCAAACCATACAGAGAAATCCTGTCTCAACAAACAAACAACAACAAAAAGAATGCTCTTCATAGACCCTTGTCCCCAGTCACTAGTCACTCTGTTTCCTGACCTCTCCACACAGATTTGCTTTACCTCCATATTGAAATGTTCTCCCTAAAGAAAGACATAATTTGTAGCTGCATCTCCAGATCATCTCAGAACATCCCAAATCCAGCACACCTATCTACAGATCATCTGAGCACATCTGAGCCATGAAGGCTCCTTCTCTTGTTTCTTCAGGGGAGAGCTCCTTGTTTCTACAGGGCAATGTTTTAATATTTTGTTTTGTTTTTTAATTTTCCCTTGCAATTTAATTACTGAAACTCTTGAAAGTAAGCACTTTAAGGACCTGGATGGCAAGCTTAGAACTTTCCTTCCTTCCATGTTGTTTTATGTCTCATATGCATATGGTGGCCAGTAAATCAGTACTCAGGTGATTTTCTGATTATAGACATTCATTCATTCATTCATTCATTCATTCATTCATTCATTCATTCAATAAAAGAACAAGTTCTATTCATCCAGGGGTACTGCAAAATCCCCCAAAGTTATCATTAGTTTCTTCTGTATGTTCCATACTGACGTGCTGTTTTGTAAAGATATAAGAGATACGAAAGCCAGAAACACTAATTCTGTAAAATCTGCTCATGGCATAAGGCTCCAAAGTTTGAAAACGACATTTCATAACATAGAGCAAATATCATGTAACCAACCGTGGTCACAGTTCATAAAAGTGCAGCCTTATATTCTTCATGTTGAAAGATCAGCTTACAAGACTAGCTTGAGAAGGTGACTCCTGAGCTTACAGCACTAAGTTTTCATCTTTTCACACAGAGGAGAGCTATAATTAGCTCAAGATTTTGCTGTAACTGTGGCAGGGAGTCCATCTCCTAATCCATCAGCAGATTTAGCCAAGAATATCTAGTTTTGCAAGGCTACTTTTATAAAACCAACCTTTCAAGTAAACTTGCATCTATGAAACAGATATTTCTTTTCTTTATAAACTAGGTTTCTTTATAAACATATGTGCTCCCATACATGAAGCAGTTCACAAGTCCTCATACGCACATCAAACACTTTTTAGTCAGAATCTCTAGCACATATCCCTATGGTAAGTACCAGATTATCTGTCCCAAATAACACTTCCTGTGTTTCCCTAAACCCAGACTCTGACATCAAATCATTCTATTAGTTTGAGAAACAATATTCATTAAATGGCAAGAACCACTGGTTTTGGAGTTTGGGATAGAATAAATATCATTTTCTTGTCTTTGTGTCTGTTGCTGTTATTTCACTGCAGTACAGAAATCTCTCAGACTACTTTGTAAGGGAAGAAAAGAAATAATTTCCCACTCAATTGCCAAAGGAACTATACAACTTAATCTGATTGTTGTGTGGGAGAGAAAACATTCCCAGTGACGCCATCTTCCTATGTCAATTAATTTTATTACAGATGTCGTCTCTCTGTGCTATGTTAACGCAGATCCTTTTTTTTTTTCTTTTGTATTTCAAGATCTTAATCTCAGTTTGTCTCTCTAACATTTTATTGGCTCAGAAATACACGCTGTAAAAATCCATGGCCATCAAATTTTCCCGTGGGCTAAAAATAACCCACTCCTGTCAGTTAGAATTAGCTGATAAAGAATGTCAGAGCCTGTTCTGAATAAATTTGATAACTTCCTGTTTATGTAGCAGTGACCCTTGTCTAATAAAGCTTCTTTGCCCTAGAATGAGAGGAGCCTCTGCTGTATTCTATTCCTTAATGGCCAATCCTGATTACTTCTGAAAGCCTTTAATACATTTCCCATATTAGACATGAACAGATGTCAGGTAGGTTGCCAAGGGAGATTTCTTTTATGCAATCTTGGCTTGTTGTACAATAATAGCCCTTTCTCAACATGGGAAAAAATTACAGACCCAACTAATTTCCCTGACAGGGGAGAGTTACATATGTTTTCCACTTGTAGTTTTTACGACAAGTTTACAGTTTTGCCAAACCTGGAACTAATTGGGATCATTTCCAAAACTGGCCCAATAAACCCCCCAAAGTGTAAGAGCCATTGGGAAAGGCAGCCAATGAGGGCTTGCTTTTGAGTTTCCTCCATTTTGGCCACAGATGGGTCAGGGGTGGGGTGGGTAGAGGGGAGTCAGATTGTGAAATTATTTCAGTTAAGTCGCTTGAACACTTACTGTTTCATATCCTCCCAGTTTTTGAGCAGCTTGAAACATAGTCCAAAGGTTAACTGTTAGAGGGACAATAAGTATTTAGATAAGCATTGCATTAACACATTTCCAAGAAATGTCAATTCAAACATTTTTTTTTTTTTTTTATTGAGAAAGAGAAAGAAAAAACAAATTAGCTATACCCCGGAGACCTAAACTTCTGGAAACAATTCACCCTTCACCCAAGGGGCATTCAACCTTACAGGATCTACTATGCTTGATGCTTCAAAATATTTCTTGAGAGATGGTTACAGGGCTACAGAGACAGTTGAACTTTAAGGACAAACAGCATAATTTAGTTTATACTATCATCCGTAAAGGAAGAGAACACATTGGAAGGGCCTTGGGGAATGTGTGGGAATTCAGAATGGAGTGAATCTCACTCAGTTCTCAAAGAGAAACCCTTGATGGGATGGTAAGGCCTCCTTCAGATAAGATTTCTCTGTGATCAACAAACAGTTTTATACATGATTACTTTCTTAGACTGTTTGATAGTGAGGCTATATTAAAGGATTGTGCTGTAATTTTGCCAACACGTGGCTGGCACATGAGTAAAGAACACTCAGGTCACATGCCAAGGCATGAGTAATACAGTAAGGAAAGCTAGTCATTCACAGAGACAAGGAGTCATAAGCCCACCGAACTCCCTAAACCGTGCCTATGTGATGCTAAGAAAACAAAATGTATCATTTTTCTTAACAAATACTGTGTATAGAGTTCAATTGTTTATGCAGCCAGGCAGTTGTGCTCAATCAATAGTACGATGATTTTGTTGTTCATTTTGTTACTTTGGAATGTGAAAATTACTGGACTTCAGGTAACCCTTTGGTAAAGGAAATGAGCAGAATGGAAACTAAACAATGAAAAGGCTTTCTGACACAACATGTTTGCAAAGCCATGCTGAACCTTGCTCTGTTTCAAGGCTATCAAGAGCCCTGCCTCAGCCTTGGGCTCATCTGAATTGTTGATAATGGGACAGATCTCTGCACAGAACATTGATTTTACTTCTATTTCGAGCAGCCAGTTTTCAGGCAAACATTGTAATCATCTGTGGTTATATAAGTTTATAATGGCTGCCAGTGTTCTCGTGCAATCAGTGCCAATTGCTATTAGCTATGTAAATTGTTATGTAAAACATACAGGTTTGACGCTCTTCATCAAAATGACACATGGTTTTAATCTAGGAAGATGCACTTGGAGAAAATTCTGTTTCAAGCCAGAGGGGCTCATGGCTTTGTGCACCAGACAGAGCAAAATATATATTTGGCTGTGAACTCTGGGACAGGATCTGGATTTTCTTCTCTTTTTCAGTGGAACTCTGCTGAAGCTATGGGTTTCCTTGCTTAGGCACACACAAAACACCTAAATGTACAGCTAACTCAAAGTTGCTCCAAACTGGGACTTCCCTTCAAGTGGATTGATTTTATGTTTGCTGTGACTTCAGATTTTAAAAAAAAGAAGAAGGAAAAAAGAAACAAGTTTAAGACTAAGGGAGTGTTTTTTGTTTGCTTGTTTTTGTTGTTTTGTTTTTCGTTTGCAGCTGTTTTGTCCACTTTTAACGCCTTCCTTTTAGAAGCTGTCTCCAAACAGGCAACATCTGGGCCTGATAAGGCTACAACATCATCATCATTATCTCACAAGAAAGGAGTTACAGACACTCCAGATTGACAAACCAGAAAGCTAGAAGCTTTCAACACGTTTATTTCTAGTCATCATCCTCGGACTCAAGCCTATAAATATCCCTGCAATTGTCCCACAAGGCAACAATGCAGCGGAAAGAGGCAGGGAGAAAATTCTTGGCTTGGACAATTTGTGGATCTACTATAAACAGAAAACACCCTGCCTAGATTAGGGTTTCAACATAATCACTAGTCCAAAAGAAAAAAATTTTACTCACCCCGCCCCCCCCCCCCCCGCCACCCCTTGCAAATCAAAGAATCTGAGCAATTTTGATATTTCAGACACAAAAACAAGTATACTTACTCTGCTTGAAACCCAAGTAGGGAATTCGCTCTATGGGTGTTTTTCTTTCTTTCATGTATTTATAAAGTGCCACTAAGAAGGCCTGTTCGTCTGCCCTACATTCTTCGCCAATGGACAGCTTTGGCTTTTCTTCATTGGAGGCTTTTTTACAGTTGCTATGGTTATTCTTCGGCTTGGTCAAGGCTGACCTGGCCTCACCTTTCACCTGGAAAAAGAATAGTAACAGTTTATAAAATCAAGCCTAGCCTTTGAAGGCTTGCAAAGACATTCCTAAGTGACACTTTCCCCTGAGGGGGAAACAGCAAGGTAGGGGCACCAAAAGACACCCTTGAGTAAGAACAGTCCTAGACAATGGGCATGAAATTCTGTAAAAAGCCACCTGATAATCATGGTGGGCTTTTTGTGCCCTATGGCTTGGGTGACAAGAAAGTACTCAAGTCAAATAAATGGTGGAGCTGAATGTCAACAAAACTTTATTGAGAAACAGGTCTCCAGAGAGCCACAGTTGATCTGCTTGAGCCAGTGCCCTTTGTATACTTCGTAGTAATTCATGTCAAACCAAAAACAGTGTTGATGTCCCATAGAATGATTGGTTTGCCTCTTGATACATTTTATCTTCCCAAGGGGTGCCACTTAATGTCATTAATGATGCCTTGCTTTTATAATAGTAGCCTGATGCTGTATACAATATATATATATATGTATATATATATATATATATATATGAGAGAGAGAAAGAGAGAGAGAGAGAGAGAGAGAGACATTTATTTCTTATCCTGTTTCTCTTTCTAGACACCGGAACTCTCCATGCTGGGATATACCAGGAGGTCATTGTCATGTGTCACGTGAAGGTGGTGTCTGCACATAACCCTTAGCAGTATACCTAAAAGCAAACTTTTTAATGAGGATTTGGTGGGTTTTCCTTCAGCTGAGAATATGATAGGAAATGTTCTCTTGCCAGAAACTAAAGAGTAGAGGGCAGCTAAAACCACAAGTAGAACAAATGGAAAGTACCCACACACACACTAAGACATAAATGGAGACTGATGCTCCATGGTTCTTTCCACACTATGTGCAGGCTTTGGAGCTTGGCTAACCTAGTGTTCCCTCCTTGCGGCCATGTTGTACAGCGGCCTTTGATGGTTGTTAAATATAATGCTAAGTTGCTGAGTTATTTTAATTGTAAAAGGGGAAGTACAAAGGGTCAGACATAGAGTTCAAATGCACCCATGGGGAATGTGTACATTCCAATATTCTTTGCATCTCCTGGCTGGCATTGGGCAGGAAGAGGGCAAGTGCCGGGAACACTGGGAATAAAAATGTCTCACAGATTCTACACTGTTCTGTTTCCGATTTCTCAGCCTCCCTTCCGAGGACTAAGCACATGAAAAGACATCTGCTTATAAGTATTAAAGGGGAACACATCCTCTCTGAGAGGGAACCATTACTGTTCCTGCACTCAAGTGAGTATACTGCTTTAGTTTCTTCAGACTGATCTCGCAAACATAAAACTTCCTGGGCAACTCACTGGGCCCACTAGAAATTTTTATTTTTAAGAGGCTGTGAAATAGGAGGAAAACATGTTTTATTTTCTTCTGTGTAGAATTTTATTGATAGTCTCAAACTTTTGCACTTTGTGACATGATAGGGAAGACTGACATCTTGTGACTCTGTGCTGTCCTCAACTTTCATTGCCAAGTTTTGGGGTTGGTGGGTCTAAATTTATGCAATTCCCTCTGAAATCATAAAACCATCCTAGTTTTTGTCTGTATCGCCTTATTTGTCTACATTGGTGCCCAGGTGTCCAAGTGCTGTTGGGAGAGCTGACTGACATATTATCTCATTCTTTCATTGGGGATCTGACATTGTTGACTAGCTTAGGTTAAGGTTAGTAGGAGTGCCAGAGCCTGCTTGCTTCTCTCTGCCTCACCAGCACTGGGGTTATAAGCACATGCAACCACACCCAGCTTTGCTTTTTTTTTTAATTTGTGTTCTCTGGATTGACCTGAGATCTTCATGTTTGCAAGTCAAGCAATTTAAGCAACTCAGCTATGTATCTTCCTAACCTTTATGTTCACAATTCAAGTGAAGTGAGTTATTATCGTCATTAAAAAATGTAGACACTGAGGCACAGGCAGAATGAGTAACATGTTTAAGTACATATGATAAACTTAATAAAGCTGGTAGTCCAAACAAACTTTCAATTAAAAATCACATATTTTCAGTCATTACAGCATCCACTGCCGAGAACTCTGGTTTATCAAGTCACATAGGAAACAAAACCAGGTGGTTTTCAAGTCACAGGAGCTTCTTTTCTTCCATTGTGCACCCAGCCAATCAAGAGAAAGAACTCTATACCTATCAGATGCCCACAGTGAGCTACACAACCTTGCTGTGTTCACATATTCTATGTCAGTGTCCACAGGAATTGCAAAAGGCGCCTGTTTATACCCATTTTATAGGAGAGAAAACAAGCTCACTGAGGCTGGAGATCTTGGTGCATGGCTACTGAGGTGTAAATGCCGAAATTTGAAACTCAGTTCTTCCTGCCTCCATCTCACATATGGGGGGAGTAGAGCTAAGAGCTGTGTGTAAAGCTTAAACTTGCAGTGATAACAGATCAATTAACTCTGTTACAAAGACAGGAGCACCCTGGGTAGGGCACTCTGAGGTTTGCATATAAATAGACGCTTAACCCCCTGCTTGTATGTGTAGAGTAGAAATACCAGAAATGGAAAGAAAGCACTAAGAGTAGAAAGTCAGGGCTGAAGTGGCTCACACTCTCTGCTCATGACAAAAGCTCCAAGTGAGGTGACGCTACCACCTGCTGAACTCCATCCTGCTTTCCAGGGTTCTGCTAAGGGGGATGGAAGATGCTCACCAAGAAGGAAGCAAGTGAATGGGGGTGGTCTGCATCTCATACTAGCTCTGTGCATCGTTTCTCAGTGTGACTTTTTAGTTCCCTAGTAAGACTCAGTCAAGTTGTTGTCTACATATTTTCCCCACATTTACTCAACACACTCCCAGCAGTTTAATCTACTGAATGACTGTAATTCAGTTGCTAAAATGGAAACAGCAGGCAGTCTTGGTGTTGACCTTGAGAGAATATGACCTTTAAGGTTTTGTAGGTTATTGTCCTGATCTGAGTACTACACACCTGTTGAGCTCAGTAAGAGCTCTGGGCTTTTCAGAGTGATTGGCAGCATGCTAATTATAGGAGCACCGTTTAATGTTCTCAATGAACCTGTATGCTTATTTGATACTAATCACATTCTTCTACACAATTGGGTTACCACTGCTCTGTCCATCAGCAGGAGTAGCAGGCTGTGGTGAACCAGCAAGGAAGGTTACCACTGCTCTGTCCATCAGCAGGAGTAGCAGGCTGTGGTGAACCAGCAAGGAACAGGCTACTCTCCACTTCTAGGCAAAGCGAGAGTTGTAATCCCTGAGGATAGTTCTTAGGACCAACTGAGACGAACAGCTCTGAAACTAATGCAAGCATCACACTTTTGTAGCATACTTTGTCCTTTCATGATTTTTCCAACATGGAAACCATCTTTTACATGTCTAGGCTTTAGAAAATGCTTAACACACACACACATACACACACGTGCATGCATACATTTACTTTCCATCACTTGAGGTTTTACCACTAGACATCTAAGCTAAGAAAACTCCTCTAGTACAGTTGATAAAATCTTGGTCATAGATCTTATGTTGTAAATGGCTCTAGCAAGTGACAGGATCAGAGCTGATCGTTTGTTACAATGCCCTCCCAGGGCTGGGTGTGTTTCCTCTTCATGAGACATATGTCTTCAGATAGCCACATAATTCTTTCTCCCAGGGGAACCAGTGTGTGACAAAGATGCTGTTCTCTTCACAGCCAAGAGTGGAACCTTTTGAAGGTGACATCATGACCACAGGAAAACCAGAACACCCATGCTGGAAGTTCTGCTGTGGGGAAGTGCAGGAGGCTGGCACTCAGCCACAGTTAGAAATGGTCTTTCTGAGGCACTTTCAAAATACAGACAGGTCTGAGAGCCAAGCAGCTCGCCATCATGTAAAATATTGGTTCAGGTTCCGGAAATAAGCAGATGGTCATAGACTAAGCATCTTTACTGCAACATTCCATGGCAAAAGACCACTTTAAGACCCAAATGCCTTTCTCAAAGGCTCTCATAGTCTCAAGGATGGTTGAGGATCTTGCAGGATTTTCCAGACAGTTGCCAATAGATACACTCACCACACTTTAATATTAATCTTTCCCAGTTAGTGGGTTTCTCCAAATGCATTGGAAGTACACAAGGCAAGACTGTAATCCAAGGCTCCAAGAGAAGCTAAGATACTCCGCCAGTTCTCAGAAGCTGGCCACCATTAACTTTGGAAGGATGGTCTGTCCCAAGCTGACCATTTTCAGTGGCAGGATTAGTGGGAGGAGGGATGAAGGAAAGCCCAGGCTTGGCTGCCACCCCTCACAAAGAGGGTAAACTGGCAAACTAGCATAGTCCACGTGTTCAGTCGCCATCTATTCCTTCTGTTTTGTAAGTCTTCATGTGAATTTTGTAATTCCCACACATCAGTAGTCCCTCCAGATAACATGGCTGGCTCATCACCATCTTCCTGGTGGGGTCAGACTTAGAATATCCTGGAGAAAACACAGCATGCACACTGCGTTCTCTGTTGAATGCAATCAATACAAAACCTTGCTCCATCTGCGTTACCTTGCAGGCCTCTCAGGCTGCATTTCAGGGATAGAACTGATTATGCTGTCATCATTCAAGGCCATAGACACCAAGGCTCTAGGCAGGCAGTTCTAGGGGTGAGCTACTCCAATCACAAGAAAATGTTCTTCATGGTATCCACGTGTTCACTTGCAGAGGTTAAAGGGGTAAGGGGCAGACAACATCAGGATACTAGGCTTGTATTTAGCCAGAAAATTGAAAAAAAAATGTATTTCTGTAGATGGGCTTCAAAATATATATATATATATATACATATATATGTATATGTATATGTATACACACACACACACACACACACACACACACACACACACACACACACACCTTTTGAAGTCTTGGGAGCATGACAAAATCCTAACCAAAGAGCTCTCAGAACTTTGTGGTAAGAGTCATACTTGAAGATAAGACTTATGGAATGTAAAAGTCCACAGTTCACCTTGACACACGGGAAAGCGGGTAGAGGATATAGCCAACCCACAGCAGGCAGGCAATATGAAAGTCAACCCATTCTTTTCTGTGTGAGAATCTTCACCAGTACTCCACATGTCCCCACACTCAACACCTCAGCATAAGGTTCTGGAAATGCTTTGTCAGTTCCCACCTGATTTTTCATTCTCAACTAGATGGATTCGAACTGTTTGGGGCCTAGAAACAACACAGAACACAGACACCCAAGAGCCAGCATGTGGAAATGTGACCTAAGCTCAAAAAAAGTCAAAAAGATAAGTCTAAAAATATGAAGTGACACTTCACTGAATACTTCAGACACTTCAAAGAGTTCAAAGAATGCTCATTCAAAATGGGCCAACAGGCCTCTAAGGCAGAGGCTTGCCTTCTGCATTCAGAGAGACTTTTAAAATGTATTCACCTCTATGAGAGTGCACATACATAGAGATAGTGTTTTGGGTATCTCTAATTCACTCTATCAATTGGAGGTGACTTTGGGGAATTAAAAATATGACCAAAAAGATTAATTCTAGCCACTTCTAATTTCATCTCCAGTTAATCTCTGAAGCATATTTAGATGTGTACACTCAGAGACAGGATGGTTCAGCTGGTCTATTTTTAAGACGAGCAGAGTAAACTATGTCATTGTGTCATCTAGTATGAAATCTCAGCCTCAGTGACGCGGGCGCTTAATCATGTCCTTTACCCAACAAGCCAAACCGGGAGGTGGGAAGTCATTCTGTTGACTAATCAAAGTCCTGCCTCCTACCAGATCCTCCCCACCCCCAGCCACTAGGGAAGTGTCCAGTCCAGACATGGCCTAAAACTCCAGAAGCTTCAGATTGTGAATGGAACACTGCTACAGAGACCAGTTATCGGGGAGGTCAAAGGGGAAAAACAGAAGGAACATCGATCAGGACTTCCACCTGATGACAGACTGTACCTTGTTGATCGCTTTACCATCACAGTTATTGTTGGAGTCCTTCGAGCCGCTGAAGGAATCTCTTCTCTGGGGACATGTTTTCTTTTTGCGTGGTCTGCCTTTAAGATTTGGCGCTGAAAACAAATGGAGAATAATTGTCATACACTCAGTAAAAGATACAGAAGGGTTACTATAGTGCTCTGCTCTGATAGCCCAGACTCATACATGTCAGCCACCAACTCTCATTGGATGCTGCTATCTTTGAAGGGTGGGACATTGGTAGATGCTAAGCTACCAACATTCCCAGGTCTAATTCATATAAATAAAATGAGGACAAGGAAAGATGACACACACACACACCCTTCTACCACCCCCCTCACTCCACACCCCCCATCCAACCCCCACTGCACACTGTCAGAATAGAAGTACCCCTGGATAGACTTGGAGAGCCTTCCTTCTATTTGTTTGCTATTTTGCATTTTGAAACCAAAATGATACACCAGCCTGTGATGTCACCATAGTAAAGTAACATCTGAAAGCATTGCTCTTTGGGAAGAGTTTAGAGACAGCATCATTTTCTCAAATTACCATACCAATGAGAGAGACAGCTCTAGGGAGAGGTGCTCATGGTAACAAGCTACTATTACACAAATTTTCTAATAAGATTGTGGCCAGTGTGTCTCAAATCTCAGTAAATCTGGCAAAGACATTGAAACCGGCATGTCCTCTTTTCCTCCTCAATATATTTTTATGAAGATCTGGAGGGTCATTTAAAATAAATTCCAAAGCTTACACTGGGGTTAGCCTGACTCCTGTGGGGGTTGGAGTGTATGTGTGTGTGTGTGTGTGTGTGTGTGTGTTATTAAAGCCATAGTTACAGACGATAATGGACTTAGGCTGTTTATGGGGTGCCCTGACTGCCCCTACCAGCTCTCACATTCAACTTCATTAGTTACTCAAGTCCGTAAAATCTAAAACCAACCAGCTCACTGAGCTGCCCATTAACCAACTCCGGACAAGTGCCTTTCCCCCCAAATAATCTATCTGGAATTTTCAAGGCACCCATATTTTTATTATTTTGAAGTGCAGTTATGAAGAAAATCATATCCGAACAGCAGGGAGACTCTTAATTGTTATTCATCTCACATATACACATGAACACACACAGGAGTGCACACACGAACACGTTTAGCTAGTGGCTTTAGGCCGTTTCACGGTGGACTCGATTTACATACATGCTACTTCCTACTAATTTGTTTTCCTGCCGCAGATAGGAGTTTTACTGTCAGGGAAACTCGCTTAAGGCAACTCTCTCTTTACAATCAAAGTAGGGAGTGTGGGTTAAGAAGCAGTTTCTGAAGGTTCCGGACCCCTTCCCAAACTACCATTCTCATCGCATTCTCCTTCTTCCAATCGCTGTCCTCAAAGTCCGCCCCAGAAAACCTGCCTGGAATTATCAAATAGAAAGTCACACGCAAAGGCAGGCAAAGAAAAAAATAGACATTACCCATTCCAGTCGCCACACATCTGCCTGATCGATGCCTGTGCTTAGGAAAGCTCCGGCAGGGGACCACCGTTCCCCAGCCTCATCCCTGGAAGTCTGGACTTGATGTGGATATCGGCTTCCTAGCTGCGCAGAGGCTCACTCAGCGCTGCTCACAGCTCCCCTCCCCCGGCAGCTCCATTACTCATGTAAACACACAGCAGTGACTAGCACGGGTGTGTGGGATGGGCTCTGAGCTCTGAGCACTTAGGGGGAGCTGCCAGACTGGCAGGCAAGGCTCTGCTCTCTCCTCCTCCCTGGCTGGGCTTGCTGATTGCACCCAGCTTGTTTGGTGGCTCCTGACCTCTGGCTCCTTGGTGGGAGCTCAGAGCCGAGTTCCGAGAACTTGCCACGGTCCACAGCCTGGAGCCAGGGTGTGGACTGTTTTGTTTAGAGGACTTTGTGTAGCTCGGAAGCTTTTCCACAATGACCCAAGCGCTGAGGCTTTAATGACTGTTAGGGTAGGATGTCCTCTCGAGTCCTCTTATCAAAATAACAGCCCAGCAGTGAGCAGACACAAGCAAACAGGACTTGAGAGAGGAGTCCTGCGCGATCCCAGCAGCAGTCAGCAGAAACAGAACAATATGGCCTCTGTTCCCAGACTTGTCACTGTCATCTTTTCCCCATTTTTGAAAAGCACTTAAAACCTAAAAGGCGTTTATTTCCAGAAAAGCTCTCAAAGCCCGAAGGCCGTGTCTAAAGACAGAGCTTGCACCAAACACAGTGTTTTAAATAGCAAAGCAAAGGTTCCAAGAACCTGTAAGAACCATCCCTAAACTGGGTCGTTGTCCTTCATCTTTTAGGCTGTTTTTAGAACCCAGAGATCGGAAAGATTCTGAGAACTACAAACATAGAGCAGAGGGGCACCTAGCATTCTGATCACACAGCTCTAAATAAGGTTTTATGAAGAGGACACACATGCTTCTTCCTACTAATTTATTTTTCTGCTGCGGATAGGAATTTTACTGTCAGTGAAATGCAGTTAAGGACCTCTTTACCATCAAAATGGGGAGTGTGGGTTAAGGCGAAGTTTCTGGAGCCTCTTGGTTCTTAATTGGTCAAGTGCTGGACTGTTTTAAGAATGAGCCAGCCAAGGTAGCATCTCGGAACCTGCAAATGCAAATCCTTTTTCTTTGTACAGAAAGAAGTACGTACAGAAGTACTTGAGCTATATGTTTCCTTTTCTTTTGGATGGGGGGAGGGTATTATTATACCTGACTGAGCCATCTTTAAGGGTAGGACCATTTGATTCACCTCTCATTTGCATAACATTAGGGAGGTGGCATTGTGTAACCTGAATTTGTTGAATGAACAAATGACTAATGGAAACACAAATGCCCACACACTCCTCTCATCCTTAGGAGGGGAACCTGCCATTCAGGTCATGTGATACACGTGTCACCCTGGGAAACTTTACCCTTTACATCTGCCGGCACTGTAAGCTAGTGGTTTGAGGTGACACTGAAACAGTGAATGACAAGCCCAAGGTTTTGGGTTCATGACTACTGCCAAACCATTGCTTTAACCATAGCCTTGCCCCACATGTCAGTCACAAACCATCAATGATCCAGGTGTGGCCGAGCATGGAGGATGGCATCCAGTCCCCCATAATGCAACAGAAGACCATTTGGACTCTTAAGCCCCCCCCAACCCCCCAGGACAGCCTTGTAATTGAGGAACTTGGGAAATTGTAAATCTTCTGGCTCCCAGGCTATTTTTCCTCTATGGCAGAGAAATCATTCTCTAGTCTGACGATGGAAAGTGAGTATTGCATGCATAGTGGTCAGTGTGAGGTGGAACTCTGCATTTCATTCATTCCCAGGAGAAACATCCCCATACCTTCTCACTGTGCTAGATGCTATGCTTACCCCCTTCTGGAAGGCTAGTGTCAAAACAAAGATCCTGAGTCTCTACCTGGAGTGAGCCTCTGCTTTAGGAAGAGAAGCCCTCAGGTTGGAGCTTCTGCTCTCACCGGTCCCACATAAGGCATGCGACACTGTAAATCTGCCCATGTTACAACTGCTTTCACTTGTGAATATAACTGCTGACCCAGCATAATCCTGGGCCTTCAGAGTTCAGTAAGTGGCTTTGTTGTTTGTGTGTTTGTTTTTTAAAGTTCTAGTTTGTTGCTGGATGTCTCAACAGTTACAAGAATGCAAACTCCTTTTGTGGAGGACCTAAATTCAATTCTCCGCACCCACACCCAGTGGCCTACACCCTCCTGTAACTCCAGCTCCAGGGGATCTGATGCCCTCTCCTGACCTCTGAAGGACTTACACTCCCTCACACACCCCTACACAGGAGATCCTCTGGTAGACTAGCAAGACCTCTTAACTATTGCACTATCTCTCCAGCCCCTCAGCAATTGTCCTTTGCATGAATGCTCTCAGTGTTGCTCTGGGAAGACAATAGTGCCTCATCCTTTCTTGGTACTTGCTGAGCACTGGCCATTGTTCTACCCTCCAATAGTAACTCCTCTAAAACTCACAGCAAACCAAGGAGGTTATCAGGGTTATTATCCTCTCCATCCTACAGATCAGGAAACTGAGGTCGAGATGAAGTCAGCAGTCTCAGACCATACAACTGATTATCAGCAACGGGATGGCTTCTGGGAGCAATTGCCTTTTACCTAGGGTCCTCATTTCTTTCCCAATGAGCACACACATTAAATGGTAGTCCATAACAATCTTTCAACAACCCTAAACACTCTCACACACTGCCTGCTTTTGTGAGCCTCTCTTTGACCCACTGAGAGCAGGGACCTCTTCAGTTTTGACTAAGCAGTGGGTGATAAGACTCTTGTTCAACCCATTAAAACCAGTAAAACTTTGTCAAAGCACCATGCCTATGACCCCTTTACAGTAGTAGGGGCTTATGGCTCATGAGTGAGAGATTTCTGTGGTTGAAACAAGCAAAATCCTTTACTTTCTAATTGTCCACCTTCCTCAGGGCCACTGAGCAGCCACAGCTACTTCTACAGAAGTTAACCCCCTAAAAAGCAAGCTACCTCCATGTTCAGGACACCCTGACATGTAATCACTGCTTATGCCATTGTTTTCTTTTGTTAACAATAGAGTACAATTGTTTGTTGTTAGTCTTTTTGTTTCTTAAAGGGTCTGTTTACTCAATAAATAAATAAATAAATAAATAAATAAATAAATAAATAAATAATGTGTGCTTGTATGTATCTCCGATATGGAGTCTGACAAATGTTCAGGCAGCTCAGGTGTGGGAGACTCTTCTCAGCCCCGATTCTTAATAGTAAAACAAAGGATATGTAACCAGTTACTAGCAAGGTCAGTAGCTTTTTGCTTTTTTCCAGCCTCTGCTGTGTTCTTCCTGTCATGACAATCATTTTTTTTCTTTTAATACCATTTATGCTCTTGGAGTCCTACAAAGACAAACAGCTCTAAAAACTGGATTGATTCATCAGTGAGCCAACAACCCTTTTTGCCCATTTTGCAGAGGGGATTTTTCCTCCTTGCAAAGCTACATATCCATTATATGTTCTTTGTGAGGTCTACTGACACATAGTGTCTAAGTCGCTGGGAGGACCTGAAAATAAGGGAATGGAAAGACAAAACATCATTT